CGCCAGGCCCAGGCCCCGCCCAGACCCCGCCCCAAACTCAACCCAGCGGCTCCCACGCCCTCATCTAAACCAGGCCCGGCCCCCTCCCCGCCCCTGCCCCGCCCTGAATCCCAACCCGCCAGTCTCGCCGCTTCCTCTGTCCCAAGCCCCGCCCGGTCCCGCCCAATATACAGCCACGCCCCTTCTGCGCCGGCCGCCTGGATCCTCCCAGCTGCCCTCCGAACCTCTGCGGAACCCGCCGACCGCAGTGACCACCTCAGCTTCACTCCTGCCCTGTCCACGGCCTCGCCCCTCAGCACAGACCACGGCCCGGCCCACCTACCCCTTCACACCGGGGCTCAGCTCCCTCAGCGTCGTGGACCGGCTATTTCTTGACTCAATCCCTCCCGGGCCTTCCAATCGTAGCACCTCCCCTTTCAGGGCGGGTCCTTCCCACTCCCCGCCCATAGGCGTGGCTCTAACCCTGGAGCTCCCTCTCTTCTCTCCTGGACCCGAGGTCTGTAGACCGGCTCCACCCTTGGCCTTTCATGGCCTCACGTGGACAGGTCCCGCCTCTGCTTGCGTTGGCCCCGCCCACGACGTCAGCCCCGCCCATGCCGCCTTGCTCTCCGGCTCTGTCTGCTTGAGCCTGGACGAGGCCAGTCTCCTGGCTAATCAGACGTGCCACTGTGAAGTCTGCTAGTTCAAGAACGCTCCATCCAGCAAGCAAAGGTAATGCTGTCTCCTGGCGGCTGTTTGTAGCAAGGCTGTCGGATTGGAGCTTTGCAGGCTACCAGTTGTGCATTCAGATTTTGATTTGCTTTCCAACTTTGTGACAAATGCCCTCGCTATCTTCATTCCAGGTCACAAGCACTGCACCTTCGCTCCGGGAAGGAACCCATCTGGGTAACTGTGCCACGCAAAGTCATGAGAAGGAAGCCTGCTAAGGACACCTCAGCAAGCAGGGCTTTGTCACAGCTAAAAATGTGACTATGCTGGCCTGGAACTGGGATGGTGGAGCAGAGCCTGAGGGGCGTGCTTGTGGGATCCCGTGCTTAGAGAATCAATCACTGCAGCCCAAAAGGCACTGGCTGGAAAACAGCAAGGCAGGGACAGCGGATCCCACTGTCAGCCTCCTAGTGCACACTCTCAGTGACTTTCAGGTGCTTCCGCAGAAAGCCTGGCCTTCCTTACTGCTGCACTTTGAAGCAGAGAAGCCAGTGTGCAGAGAGAATGAGGGGAATGCCTGGAGATGAGGGTCGGGGAGCCCGGAGGAGAGAGAGAAAGCTCGCCCTTTCTTCCTGTTCCTCGGGACCCCTTTAGTTATTATCCCCAGTTCCCATGAGACAACCTTTGTAAGACAGTCCTCCTTTTCCTCTTAAGTGAGCTGGAATGTGTTTATTTTTTGCTTGGCATCGTGAAGTCCTGCTCATATATCCTTTCGGACTGAGAGCCCAGGACCTCCCCCTATCCTTTACTCCGTGAGAGAGGACTGCCTGCTACTCCCCACCTGCATCCTGCTTGTTTCTGTCTTCCCTGCCGCCCCATCTTGACCTCCCTAACCTCTACGTGTTCTGCAGTCTCTGAACTGAATCTCCAAATATCTCTGCCTCTAAGGATCCCCAGGCCCCCCACCTCCTTCTCCTCGAGTGTTCACGGTGCTGTCCCTGTCTTTCCTGAGGGTGCTGCTCCTGTTAGTCACGTGCTGGTTACTGAGCTGAGCTCTGAGGGCCTCATCCCTCCTCCATGCCTGTACCAAGTGTAGCAAATGTTTGCAGCTGAATGCTGTGCCTTTAATAAACTGAGCAACACTCATTGGAAAACACATTTAATTTCAAAGTAAACAAAGATGTCTGTACATTAAAGTATTTAATTAGTGAAACAATTATTATCAGTGTAATAAGCTGAAAAATACAGCAACTTGATACAAGACTGAGGTAACAAAATACTTCACCAAAAATCTAAAGAATCCCACAGAGGGCTGATGTTCAGTGGTTACTGAGGAGAGACAATTCACAAGTATTAGAGAAAGTCCTTCACAACTGCATGCAGGGTCTGCTGGAAAAAAAGACAGCCCAGGAGAATGCAACAGATTTAACAAGAACCCAACTAAAATGTAGAAATTGATTTTCAACTTACTTGGAAGATTACATAAGAAATTGAAAACTACTCTCTATGCAACATTTTGAATGCTTAGTGGAAAACCATGCATTTTGGCACAAAATTTATTAAAGGTTTTACCATATTAATAAATTAATTACGATTATTTCATTACTGAATGGTCACAGTCATCCAGAAATGGATAGAGATTGATGGTTGTAAAATGGACAGGTGATCTGTCGCGTTGCTGGGGCTAGCAGGGATTTCCGGGTTGCCCATGGGTTGAACACACTGGTGTGGCAGTGGGCTATGAGGTGGACTAATGTCCGCGGTACAAGTTCTCAACACCCAGGACGATGCAGCTGTCACTCATGCTATACTTGAATTTAACACTGAAGTTGAAGACAGAAGCGTATGAAGCAAACACTGTGAACATTCTGACCCTACTCTCTCAGTCCCTCTTTGGGGTCCTACATATATTCAACCACAGTTCTGCGCCTGGCTCTGCTGAGCCGCCAGCCTCTAGTACACGGACAGCAGTTAGTCCTACTGCAACTGCACTTAACAGCAAAGCTGTTCAGTCATGTGGGCCTTTCAAAGTCTTTCGGGGAGAATCTGTGCACAGGAGTTGTACCCAGGCCTAGGGGAGCGGCAGGGTCTTGCTCAGGGAGATACAGGGGTGGGTGGGTGGGGATTATTTGTTCATTAAGCCATCAGCTCCACAGGCGCAGAGATTGGTTCTCTCTTCTTTTCAACTGTTCATATCCTGGTTACAGCCTGGCACATGGGAAGCACTCACTACAAATTAGAGTGAAGAAATGAATGAACGAATGGGCATTTTCTCAAAGAACTTATTTCAAAGGGACTCCTTCTTAAACATGAAATTGCCCAATATGCCAATGTGATGTGGGGCTGATTAAAGTCATTTATGGCATCACAAAAGTGAGGCTGTGTTTTTGGCATTGTTCACCTGGTGGCCGTGAGCATCAGCAGTGTGGGTGCAGAGCTCTGGACCCCACCTGAGCTTTAATAAAGCAGGCTTGGCTTGCAGATGGTTTCCCATCTTCACAGACCACTTTTTATCTGAAAACAGCATCCTCAATGACACATCTTTTTGGATTTGGGAGGAGGGAGTCACACGATGAAAGAAATACTGGGCATCCTGGTAAGAAAAGGAAATGCTTTAGAAATCAGTTGGCAGTCAAGGTAGGTTCTTTCCTAAACGAGTCCTACAAGGGTCCACCTCTTCAGCACCTCCATCTGACTGGGTGCTTGAAAGGGTATCCGGTCAGAAGAGGGAAGGCTGCTGTGCTGTCCTCGGATGCATTCAGAACAACTATGGCTCTCCACCAAATCCGTCCTCTACAAAATATTTCAATTCCCAGGGTGTAGTTTGCTGATATTGGGTTACAAAATATGTCCAGCTAAGAGAGGTGTAAAGTACTCTCAGGGCAATGTTAGTGAACGGGCTCTTCTTGGGACACTTAATACTGCCAGCTACCTAATCCAGTTTGCAGACAGCATTCTACAGCTCTTCTTTTGGGGTGTCACAATCTGTTTGCTGGGAGAAAAATGACAGTATATACACGCAAGACACAGTACCTTCGGAACAGTCAAGGAGCAAAAGACAGAAACACTTTCCTCCAAGGTGAGAGTCTACCCTGGGACCTCCCCGCTCTGTGATCTGTGCCTGGGCCTCTGTTCTCGGCTCGCAGGCCTCCTCACCTGCAGCTTGCAGGACAAGCCAGCACTGGGAAGACGTAAGCACTGAAGTCACAGGGTTGGCCTGAGCCCCTGCTTGGAGAGTCAGTTATCTTTCAGCTTCATCTCCAGGACTCTTCTCAGGTGTTCAGGGCTCTTACAGTTCTACAAGGCTCTTGCCAACGAAGTCCAAACAGATTCTTCAAGAGTCCAAGGTAAGAATGTTTCTGCAAGGGGGTGTGGGATCCGTCTTTACTAGTGGAAAGACTAAACACTTTGAAAAGAATTGTGACTGTGCTCTTTCAAATTAGGCTCAGAAGAAAATGTTTGTGGAGGGTAAGAAAAACATGGAAAGGAAAGAACATTATCTGGTTTAGTGGAGCCTGGAATTCTGGGGGTTTTGGATTGGCATCTGTATTTCATATGTGAAAAACCAGGATAGGATTAGAGGAGTAGAGAAACCCAAAGAAAAGAAGTAGCTGATATTCCAGTCTCATGCTTTCACCCAAGCGTAAGACTATCTAGATGTTAACAGGGAGGGTCAGGCTTCACTTTGGCTATAGCATGACCACTGCACAGTTCTGGCCAGAGGTGTCTGCAGGGTTTGGCGCTGTCACTCAGCCTCGGATGTCAATTGGAAGTCGTTGGTAGACTCAAGTGCACACATGTGGACCCCTGGTACAGGTGGGTGCACAAGGCAGCTGTGGTCAAGGTTTGACGGCGTTAACTTTCCCTTCTGGAGTTTCTCTTGGCATGAAAGTGTCTAGTCTTTGCTCCGAAAGAGGGTTAGCTTCTGAGCACTGTGAGGCTCAACCACAAAGCACCACCCTGATGACAACTATTTTTTGTCACCAATTCATTTAAATTTCAGAGGAGCTGTCACCATTTGATCAAAATACAGTGATGGGTCTTTTGGTAGTTTTTCAATTGAGCTCTTACAGTTTACTAGTTATGGTGTTTTGAAGCTTCTTACCAAAAAACTCTTCAGGGTAGTTTGAATCTTGGTAATTGTAAGTTCTGAAACCAAAAAAGGAACAAAGACCCAGAAATTCCATCTCTTTCATAAAATGGTGTAAGGGTTTCCTTCTCAGGATTAGGACATCCAAATAAAATGGGGTGGAAAGTGGCAGAGGCAGGCTATGATGATAAAGAGCAATTTATTTTCTATAAAAATGTATATGTGCAAAGTAAAAGTCCCTTTAAAGTACGACAGAGGATGACAAATAAAAGTCATTGTTCATGGGAAGAGCTTTTACAACAAATGCAGAGGTTGGATGTTCACTCCCCAGGGCTTGGCTTTCTTGTCACTTGGTCATCAACAGTTATGCCCTTGGACTTGGAGAACTTGCTGGTGACTGCATTTGGAGGCAAGACTGGGGGAGCATAAGGCCTCAGTGTTGCTCAGCTCCCAGCACGATCAGGAACCCCAGTGGGCCCGCCCTGGTGGTGGAGGCAACGGGATGAGATGGCAGAGGGAAGCAGAAGTCTGCCCCACAGAGCGAGGTTGGTATAAAGTGATTTCTGTGTGGCTGATCACTGTGAGCATGGTAGCTTCCAAGCTGCTCTGAGGATGCCGAGAGAATGCCACAACTTCTCGCGTGGGCATGGTGGGAGCAGGTGCAATGAGAAGCGCCCCAGCTCTGCCAGGAGCGGGTATGGAGGAAGCAAGCAGGCCAGCGGCCCAGTCTGTAGTCCAGAACCAGGTCCTGCCTCAGCAGGGCTGACAGCAACAAGGCCTGGAAGGGCCCCAGGGCCCAGCGAGCAGGCCTTCCAGATGAATAGCACCCATAGGAACAGAAAACAAGACACGATTTAAGGCATTGTTTGTTTACAGTAAAAGAACACAAGGGACCCTTAACACAGGGGCATCTGGGCTCCCACTCTGACCTTTCTTGGTGGACAAGGCTATCACTGAAGGGTCAAGCAGGGCCTCAAAGCAAATGAAGTGTGTGATGTCACAAGTCTTGTGCCAAAATGCATGTTTCTCGGAGATTTCACACTCGCTCGCACGCACACATGTACAGCACACACACGGAGAGGACGCTTCGGGGGTTGTACAAAATCTGAGGCAGCCCAGTGGGCGAGCGGCCCCATGCACTTGGGGTGTAACAGGCCTGTCCCACAGCCTGTCCCTGCTGTCTGTCCCCACTTGCAGGTAAATGCTGTCCAGTCTGTGTGCAGCAGGAAGGACGGAGAACCCAACGTGGGCCAAATGCTCTCTAGTCGCAGAAGCAGCTGGTGAACAGACGAGGCCCAGAGAGGGGCGGGGTGTGCAGTCTGGGGTCTGACCACTGCCCTGCGAGGTGGTGCTGCAGAATGAGCCGTGAGAGTCACTGGGAGCTGACAGGTGGATCCTGCACTGGGGAGCCCTCTGGGACTGTGAGGCTGAAGGCCACGTCCCGAGTCTGGCTGCAAGGCTCCCAGTATCCTGGCTCACAGTCTGTGTCCAGGGCTGCTCTTCTCCACCAGGCCCAGCCTGGGCTCCTAGAAGCCTTTTCAGTCACGCCAAGTCCTGCAGAGACTTATTCAAACGACATAAGGTTTGCAGGTACCTGGAAGAGAAAACTCAGCTTCTTGTCAAAGTTCTGGTGCTTGGAAAGGGATGAGGGTGGACCTTAGGGGAAGGGACCAGGCCTTTCCTAGTCAGGCTATGAATGAGCAGATCAGGTGGGGAGAGAGCATGGCAGTAATAATGGCTTCTACTTGTTAAGTGAGCACTTCGTGCCAGGCACTGCTCTGAATACTTCACATGCAGTGTGTCCTGATCCTCACATCAGCCCTAGGAGGCAGGTGCTAGAGGCATCACCGTTATGCAGATGAGGAAACTGAGGCTTCAGGAGGTCAACGTGCAGTGAGTAGGAAGCCCACACCTATGCTTTCAAACACCATCCTCCCATCCAAATAAAACTGCACTCTGGATGGGGAGCACAAACCTCACAGGTACACATAGGGGGCATAAGCGTGGCTCCAGAGGGGACACCAGCAGGAGGGGGCATGTCACTGGGGGATGGCAGAGTATGGCAAGTAGAAACCCAGGAGGAGGAGGAAGTATGTGGATGTGACAAACCCTACAACCTCCCCACTGCTGTGCTCCAGGGCAAGGCCCCAGCCCTGGTTACTGGGGACTGTCACCACCAAGGTAGGTGTTGTCCCAGCCTCAGACCTCCTCTCCCAGCACTGCTGTGAGTTCCAAAAAATTTGATTAGAAACAATTTCATTGAAATAAGCCTATCTTGATACCAATTTGGTCAAAATGATGCATTAGGAAAAAATGCGTCTCCATGCAGCAGGAGACAGTTTTAAGAATGTGCACAGCAGCACTGTCAGGATAGCAAAGTGCAGGAAATCGTTCCTGGGATGACTAGAGGGAGAAATGAGAGAAGATCAGCACAAATAAATGAACTGACAGCTATGTGTGCTGACACCGATGAATCTTAGGAACACGTAGCTGTTGAGTATTTAGGTTGCTGCCAACCTAAATTTTTACTATCACATACAGTGCAGAGTAAGATGATTTGATGAAAAGTAAACATTAGAAATAAAAGAAGCAAAGTAGAAAAATATGTCCCTTTCCCTTGTCCTAAAAATTGAATAAAATTCTTTTAAAAATTGGCAGGATTTGCCTCGGATACCATATTTGGTATCCATGAGTCCTTTGGACCAAACCACGCTGGTTTGACCTGGTCTCAGCTGCCTGCCGTGCAGTGCTGCTGCCCTCTGGCTGCTTCTGCAGAGGGACACACGTCCTCGAGCAGGGCTCCCCTGGCTGCCCCTGGATGAGACAAAGGTCCTGCCTCTTCCCCCACCCTGCCCAGGGCACCCACATAAGGGCTGTCAGTTCCTGCAGTTCTGCCACCACCAGGCATCCTGCACATAGGTTCTATGCCCACCTGTGTGTGGCAGGTGAGCTTCAGTGTGCTGTGCTCTTAAGAGTGGCACTCAGAGCTCATGAGGGAGTGCAGACACATCTGGGGGACTGGTGCTGAGACCAGGGTGGTTCCAGGTCCAGTTCTCCCTCTCTTATCATCTGATGTGGACACCCTTATTTAAGCCTCCACACCTTGTTCTGTGGATTGCCTTGAGATGACAGCTGACCAGAGTCACCGGTCTTCCCATCACAGGGACGGGAATGATGTTAATGTATACAGTATATGTAAGCTGGGCCAGGGGTGTGGCTCTGTGGCACAGTGCTTGCCTAACACGTGCAAAGCCCTGGGTTTGACCCACAGAACCCCAAAATCAATATATGTGTGTATGTGTATATATTCTAGAGACTGCAGAATTACAGTTTCTTGTACATTACTGTAGAAAGTTTACATGCATATACAAACATAAATATGGTCATTATGGATAAGTATTTTGAGGCAGGGTTGAAACCAAGTCTCATTACATAGTTTAGGCTGGCCTTGAACTCCCTCTGTAGCCCAGGCTGGCCTCTAATTTGTAGCAGTTCTACCAAGCGTTGGGATTACACAAGGGCACCACTGTGCAGCACTCAGCAGCCATGTCTAAGTCAGCCTGACCAGCAGGGCTGCCTTCCCAGGGCCCTGGCACGGCTGCAGGGCTACAGGGGAAGTAGGGGCAGCAGAGCCTGGGTATAAGGTCAGGATCACGAGTCAGGAGGCTCTAGGGTAAGTCCCAGCTCCACTGTGCCCTAACTGTGGGACCTTGAAGGAGTGTCTGCCTCTTTCTGAGCCTCAGGATCCTCAGCACAAAATGGAGACAGTAAGAGAACCTTACATCTCAGGATGGAGGACCGGGCAGATTCCTGCATGTGAAGCATTTAGCATAATGACTGATGAGAGGGGTGGGGAGGAAGCCAGGCCCCAAGCCTAGTGGGCTCCCTCCATATAGCCCCTCAGAGCTGAAGTCCCCCATTCACAGCACTGGGGTGGCCTTCAATAAAGTAGCTGCCACTGTCATTTCCGAGGGTTGTGGGGTGGGAGGTCCATTAGTTAACCTGGGATATGCTCACAAAATCAGCTTTTGGGAGGTGACTTCAACAGATGCTAGAGCTGATCCTTGCCACTTCCCTGTCTTCTGGTCAGTATTTCTGTGGCATTTCCTTTGGTGGAAAAGACACAGGAGCCAGACCTAAAGTTCTCCAGGTCTCCAGTTTCGGCTCCATTCTATGCTGGGTCCATTCTATGCTGTGCAAGGGGTGTCTAGCTTCAAAGGAATCTGCTGACTCACGGAGGTGCCCGGGAGCAGAGCTGATGGGCTCTGAGGGAAGAAGGGAGCCTGTTTCCTAAGGAGCTCAAGCCCCTGGGGTGGGAGGGTATTTCTGGTGAGACATGGATGCTGGTGACTTTACCTGAGGCCTGTTGCTTTTACATGCATCATCCAAATGCTTGTGCCACAGTATCGCATGGAACCGGGAGCCAGTCTGAAACTTGTAAACATTGCCTGATGGGCAGAGAAAGCACTGATTAAGAAGAGGGCAAATAGTGGTACAGCAAAATTGTGCCTGGCATGTGTGAGGCCCTGGGTTCAAATCTCCAGTATCAATCCATCAGTCAGCCAATCTAAATATATACATACATGACAGACATGAACAGCCAGCCTGTGACTCTGCAGGAAGGAAACATGAGCCCGGATGACTAAACAAAGGAAGGTCAGGAGCAGCCCCAGGTGAGCTGGACCTGACAGGTAGGCGGGCTCCCATGCTCCCTTGGCTGTGTCTCTGGACTAGGGCTTTAACCATTTTTAGGCTAGAGTGCCTTTGGTTGTCTGGAAGCTTGTGATCCCTTCTCAGAATGTTTTTAAATGTATAAAATAAAAATAACATAACATAACATAACATAACATAACATAAAATATAGAGAAGGTCAGTGATCCTGAAACCCAGTTAGGAAACTACCTAAAAACCAACTGAGTACTGGAATTCCAAGCACGCTCCTGTATTGATGCACCAGTAACCAGATCTAGGGGCCTGTCTGATACTCTTCTGTGATTTCAAAGAGATAAGCATAAATGATGCTTTGAAATGTCTGCAACCACTTGTACTATGAAAATATCCATGATGTCTCTCAGGGATAAAATCACAGGTATTGCTAACACACTTGTCATTTGATATCTGTACTCATAATGGAAAGCGTCAGATGTTGCTGAAGACAAAGATGTGATTTCTCTCTCCTCATCCAAGTTCTTCAGATTCTACACATGGACTCTGGCCAACATTTGTGTCACATTTCCTTCTGCTTGGGGATCCTGTTTTCCTCTGGGCTCAGGCCCAGGAGAAGCTTACGGTCCGTGGGACTGCAAGGTCTCACAGTCAAGCTTGTGTAGTCATGCTTCTTCCTTCCTAGTGAAACCAACACTGAAGAAACTCCAGTGGTAACCAAGCTGGGGGTGTGTCTGGGACATGTGTGAGCTCAGTCACTCTGACAGGGAGCAGACAATGTGACCATCTACGTCTTCCCTGGCTCCTGACCTCCTGTACACCTTGTTTCTTTGCTTCTCAACTGAGAATATGGCAAGCTGGCACTCAAAGTGTGGCCCCGCGCCCTGGCCAGCACCATTGTCTGCCCCTGCCTCGCAGGAGCCTGTGAAAGGTGTAGAATCTTGGCCTCCAGTCCCAATCTACAGACCCCAAATCTGAATGTCAACAAGATTCCCAGAAACTTGTCTGTGCATGAATCCTCCACTAGAACATTCCTGTCAGTGTATAAAGATACGTGGGGACTTTGCAGCCCCAGTGTGTTGGCCTGGTTAGAAGCCAAGACTCAGGCAATGCTGGATTTTTGTTCTGTGACGTGGGCTACTGAGACTAGCTATGGCCCCTGCATGTCAGGATGGTGCCACCTCCTTCCTCCCAGCAGCGCCACAAAGGAGGTACAGAACCAGGAGGGCCTGGGAAGCTCCTCAGGAGGGGTGGGCTGGAGCTTTTGGAATGTATACAGTTCTGAGTTTGCCTTGGACCTGGAAGCGGACATGGCACAGGTGTGTCATGGGTCCCTGAAATGCCCCAGGATCCGAGGCTTTTCTGGCCCTTTGCTCTGGCTGCATCCAGCATTGTTCTTTGTTCCCACATCCTGAGGTTACAGCTCCTGAGGAGCTGAAAGCAAGGCCACAAAAGTGATTCCTATAGCCACACACCACACACACTGCTCAGTGGGCATACCAGTCATGATCTATGGACCAGTGAGGGCACAGCAGGTGACATCCAAACCTACTGCAAAGGGAAACAGCAGCCTTAAAGCTCCCAATGCTTCCAGATGCCCATCTGGCAGAAAAAGAGATGGGGTAGAGGGCTTCCGGTGCCCAGTGCCCAGCCTGTTGCCTACCTTTGTCAGGGTTGTTCAGCTGGAAGATATCCGGGTGCTCAGGGTCATCAGGCAGCTGCACCATCCAGCCCACGATGGAGACCTTTTTGCCAGGTGTGGATTTATACTAGAGGAGAGCAACACACAGCCGGGAGGCCCAGGCCCATGCCCTCCTGCCCACAGGGGAGGTCGACTTGGCCAAGCAAGCTCCCTTCCCACCCCAGCCCTGTAATTCCCAGAGGACCCTTTCCCCAGGTGAAGTCCCAGTAAGGGAGTTCATTCATGGGACTTACATGTTTTCTGTCTGTGCCCCTCAAGGACTTGGCTCCGTAATACAGGAGGGTGGATCCTGAGAGTATGACCCAGTACCTGGTCCAGGAGGACAGCTGCACAGGAAGGGGAGGCAGAGTGATGACGTGCGGGGACAGGGTAGCCCCTGGTTTCCTGATTGCAGATGCAACCACCCACTGGCAATGCCAGCTCAGGTCTCTTCTCTTCCCTGGCCTTTGCCATCCCCTGCAATGGCCCTCCCCCACAATTAAGAGGAGGTGATTTTTCTTCCCACCTCTCTCACACCTTTAAGTTGTCTTTCCTTCTTAGACCACTTTGTTGAAGCCAGTGCCTAGGAATAATTCCTACATAGTCAGGTGACCTGACTATGGCAGTATCCTGTGAAAAGCACTTTTAAAATATAGATGTGCTAAGCCATAGCCTAGAAGCTTGATACCTGCAATGTGCTGCCCTGGATGGAGTTGAGGGGGTTGGAACTCTGGTAAGGCCAAGCTACAGGCAGGCTTGTGTTTCTCTAGGGCAAAGGGCCGAATTTCTAAGGCTCTGATCCTTGGTTTGGGAAACCACTTCCATGGGTTTTGGTTCAGTGAAGGCAAAGCCAACACCCCATCTGGCAGGAAGAGGACGTGGCTCCAAGGAGCAGGCCGCACTGCATCACCACACAGGGCCCCTTCGTACCACCAAGGGAAAGCAAGGGCTTTACACCCACAGGGGTGCACACAGACACCCACGTACGTGATGAAATGACAAAGCTCATGGAACAATACTCATCTTCACTGTATGTGAGGAACTCTGACAATTTTCCATTCTACTGTACTAAAAAATATGGGTCATGACCCACTGACCTGATCTCATTACTCACTATCAAGTCAGCTAGCATTTAGGACAACACTGCCTTAGGGACACTTCCAGGCTCTGGCCTTGGGATGACTGGGGCCTGCACTTTGGGCCAGGAGAGGCGGGCAGGTCAGTACAAGAGGACAGACAAGCCCCATGCTGCTGGAGGCTCTGGGATACGCTGGAACTCCATGTCACTAAGTGACAGAGTGTCATATGGGAATGAGACTCTCATTACCCAGGAGTCAACTGGAAACTCAAGACAGGGGCTTTGAGGACACCTGGAGGTGGCGGGTGGGCCAGGACAGGAAGACAGGGGCCAGAGCAGGACAATACTGCCTGGAGATGCAGCTCGCAGATGGTTTGGGGCAACTTGTCATGCAAGAGGCTGAGGTTCTGTCACGTGGAGTCATGGAGCTGGCGACATCTGGGTTCAGCTGGTGGTAGGGTCTCAGTCCTCCTGATCCTCATCCTTGTGCTTTCCTCCACTTGTTTTAGGGTACTGCTGGGACAAGCAGGAATCTACATCTAGGAATGCTACCCGGCAGTGCATGGACTCGGGGCCTCTCAGCCTCCTGGGCCAGCCGACCTTTTTGTTCCCAGCTTCCAGGTTTCCACCTGCTGGTGTGCAGGCACTGCCGCACATGGCCTCCAGAACGAGGCTGTCTTGTCCCAGTCTACAGTGTGGAAACAAAAGCCCTTCTCTCTCAGCTGCTGCCCTGAGACCAGGCACTCACTGGGGCCCATGTTGTCTCCATCAGACATGCTGACTTACTGCGGGCTTCCGTCCTTCCTTGAGCAGGGTTTTCCTTCTCAGAGGCCCCTCCATGGTGGGCACGGCTGCTGAGCTTCCCAGGGTACAGGTGCACGGGCTGGTGGGGCTGGGGGGAGACCACCAGTCAGACACAGCCTGGAGAAGCTGAAGCCAGGCCTCCTCTCACCCACTGGGGTCCCTAGGTGTCCACTAGTAAGCCCATGGCTTTCCCCTCGGCAAGTGGACTCCTAGTACTGGGCAAGGCCAGGGAGGGGAGGGCCAAGGTCCTAGAAGAGCAGGAAGGGCTCCTGGCAGCTGTGCCCTTCCACCGCCTTTGTCTTCAGGTTCTAGGCTTGGCGATCAAGTTCCCCATAACCTCGCTCCTAGCAGCGGCCACCCTATCTGGAAGACACCTCTGTCATGGCTTCCTCCTGACTGTTCCTGGGGCTCATACCTATAGCTTCCTCTAAACCTGCCCGTGGGCGGGCCAGAGCCTTGGAGGATGTATGTGTGATGGGGTGCTGTGGAGAGAAGCATGAGAGCACCCACACCTTTTCCTCCAGGCCCCTCTCTCCCCATCTCCCCCAGGATCAGGCACCAACCACAGGTGGTGACTTGGCAAAGCATGGCCAGGCCAGCCCCGTCTGAGCCCCAGACCTGTGTGCTTCTGCTCACTCGCACCAGAGACACTTCCCAAGTCTGCCGGTGAGCACTTCTGCCCCACAAACCAATCGGTCCCCAGGATGCTCTGATCTGGGTCCTAACTATGTCTGGCTGTCCATTCCAGCTTCCCACCTCGCCGTCTGAGGCCAGTCCATCTTCCTTCGGCTGACTGCTCACTGCCCAGCCTCTGCCCTGCTTCCTCCTCTACCCTCTCTACACTGTCCCCTCCCACATCCAACCCCTTCCCCGGCTCCCACCACATTAAAGGGGCAGGCCACCACTCCTGTGCCTGCTGGACACGCCCCCACCCGTCTCCTTTGTGCCCTTCCCTTCTCTCATTCTGCACAGCACAGCCTTTCAGTCCCAGCTCCTCCTGCTTCACAGGGTGCCACACAGCGCGGCTCCCACGGCTGCGAGCACTCTTGTCGCTCCTACATGTTTCTGCTGTTACCGGGCCAGTTCCCATCATCCTTCCAGTCTCGCTGTCCCCGAGTCCCCTCTCCTCTCCCAGAGTGGCGCACACCTCTGCTCTGAGACCATCAGCGCATCTGTCTCCTTCCACAGCCTCTAACACAGACTTTGCACCGAACAAGCACCCTAAGGTAGTCTCTCAATAAATAAGCAAAGGGATAAATGAATACCTGTAAGCACAGCTCCGGGTTCTGGGAGAATTCCGAACTGGAACCCGCCAGTTGGGCCCTAGGGTGGCATAGAGACGTCCCCTGCTACAGAGGAAAAGGAGCAAATTTCAGCCACAGCTCAGAAAGACCAGATACCCCTTGTGATTATGGGGGTCATCCCCCTCCCTTACCCTCCCCCTCTACAGGCTTCTCCCTCCTGCTGCAAGCTCCTCTGCGGCACTCTGGAGCCACCAAGTCAGTGAACACACACCATTAGAGCCCTCTTTCAGGAAATTCTCCCAGTCTCTGGTGAGCATTTCCTCACGTTTGTATCCGAAGCTCACCCTTTTCCCAGTGACCTCAGCGTGCAGCTGACAAGTCTAATAGAAAATGCTGTGCAGCCTGCACGGTCATGGTGGGGCCACACGGGACGCGCACACGGGCAGAATTGTGTGCAATCTTGCATGTCAGGCCTGCGAACATCTGCAGCAACCCCTTTCACCAGGGCACCACTGGGTCTGTCTGTTGCTACATCCTCTCCTCTGGACAGGCTCCTTTGCTGGCTCCAGCTGCCCCTACAAACTGGTCCTGTGACCTGCACCATGTCCAATAGCATGTGCTCTGTGCCCGTATCATGGGCTCTGTCTGGCTTTTCTCCCTCCTGCACCCCCGGCACCAGCCTTTCTAGGGGAGCATGCAGCTTCCTGCTCCACCTCCTTGGGGGGAGGCACCCCTTTCCTCTCTCTTCTTCATCCTTTCCTGTCTTAGAAGAATCACTTCCTGTGTCCGCTTGCTGGCAGCAGCCCCACATGGACTCAGCCCCAGTCCTGCAGCAAGCTCTACCCCTTCTTTACCCCACGGCCAGATGGCTAAGTAACCTCCTATATAAAGTCAGATGAGGTCCTTCCCAATGTGCCCGATGTTGTCCTCAGCCAGCTCTGGGCTGCTGCCTACTGGGCATGGTGTGGGGAGATCTTTGCTCATTGCAGCTGGTACATCATACCATCACCGAGCCAGGGCCTGCATCCTCCAGCCAAGAAGAAAGTACTCCTGATGGCCACGTTAGGTTCACTGTCCAGTGCAGCCTTGCTGGTTTCCTGGGATGGCTGCTCCAGGACCTTCCCGTCTGCCAACAGCCCCTCCTTGGGTGACAGTGTGCTACAGCATGGGCTTAGTCCACAGGTCCTCAGTGTGACAGGTCTCATGATGGTCCCAGGCTGACGCTGACCTACCACAAACTATGGCACAGTTGAGAGGCCCTGCCACGCTCAACTCCAGCCAGCTTGCCGAAGAGCCGCCTCCCACTCTGTCATTCCCAAAGAGGGCTGGAACGCAGTGTGTGAATGAGACGCTGCCCAGAGAACCACGCTGCCAGCTCTCATTTCTAAGTAGTTGGGACCTCAGACTTGAGTAACCTCCCAACTGCGGCAGCCGCACTCAAGTCTCATCCTAAGCTGAGCAATGCCATCAGGGCACCAGTGACAGGTAGCCTTCAGGGCAGCTCTCCTTCCCAGGTGTCACAGGAATTTCTCACAAGTAGGGTCTGATGGTGAGTTCTGTGATGATTTCCTCTGTGACATCTCTGACTCTGACCTGGATCCCCAGTCTGAGCTGCTGCCACCTGGGGCAGAGGGGAGCCTCCCTTCCCTGAGCTGGTCCTCTGGCCTTTGCTTTGCCTTCTTGTGGGTCCCTGTCACCCACAGTCTGCAGCCAATGGTCATTCCCCAAATAGGGCAAGGGGATGTGCTTCCACCTGCTTCCCATCAGTGTCTTGCATGGTTGGCAGTCATGGCTGTGTAGTTAGCAGATGCTGGTAGAACAGATATTTGTGGATAGAGAGTCTGGAACTGCATCTTCTGGGGAGCCTGGCCTTGTAAGCAGACATTGCTCCAGCACAATACGCAGGGGTCTGGCGGTGCAGACACTGTGGCTTGCTGGCGTTGCTCATGGACAGACCAAGGAGCCACTTGGGTGCTTGTATGTGTCAGGTCATCATCCCCACTCCTCACTGAAGCTTTGTTTATGCACCATTATGCTGCATGTAAGGAGTAAACTGAGGCTCAGCAGTATAAAGCTACACGACCAAGGCACAAGAGTCTGTCTGACTCTATAGCTCAAGCCCCTGACCACAGTATGAGACACGACCTTTCAGAGTGGAAGGAGAGGCAGAGCGGCCAACATGGCCAGCCCGCTCTGTGGCCTGGTTCATGTCTCACTTCAGTGGTCTCTCGGGGATCCTACTTCGGGGCAGCTCTGCTGGGCACCTCAGGCCACAGCTCGCACTTACCGGGCTGTGCCAGGGTCTGTGAGGCCAAATGGCCACAGAGTCCTTAGGCCTGAGGATCTCCTGGGGTGGGTAGCTTCCAGGTCTCTTGCCCCTTGGCTTCCTCTATGCAGTATTCTCCTGGGGGCTCTGGCTGCCCTGTACATCACAGCCACTGGCTCCTGTCACCTGCTTACCATGTACTACTTAAGTGCCTTTGCACTCGAGTCCAGCCAGCCTTGTAGGAGAGGTACAGTCAACCCTCACACTGTTTTAGATGAGAACACAGGGAGACTCAAGGAGGTGGAGAAGCAACGTCCCACTCCACTGGCCTGTCATTAGAGGTGGGATGTGAGTGCCCACCTTGCTGTGGGCCAAGGGCCTGCGTGAGCCAGTCTCACTGCTCCATGCTGGAGACCAGGCCTGCTCTCCCAGCAATCAGGTGGCGGCCAGCCCTCAGGAGCTTTGGCAAGGGTGGCAGCCAGCCTTCAGGCCCTGAGAGCTGGGGAGGTTGTGACAGGCAAGTAGCTCCACCTGGTGGGGTCGGCCAGCATCAGGGCAGAGTAATGAGGGGCCTCAGTCATGGCAGCCAGATGGCCCGATCCATCCCTGCTTTCTTTGGCGAATTTTCTGGACCAGGAAATGCAATCTGAGCGGCAGTGGTATGTGGCAAAGGCAGGTCTCTCATGGGGTCCTACTCCAGAGCCACAGGCACTGGTCCTAGCATGGCTGTGAGACCATGGCTAAACACCACGTGTCCTCAGCAGTCCTGCTGACTGTTGCCTCTCCAGGATGGATCTGGGCATGAGGAGTGCTAGCGGGCAACTGAGGCCTCCCCAGACCAGGAGCTCATGGGAATCCTGCCCCAGGGAAGGTGTTGGCTGGCTACCAGGTCCCAGTCCCAGAGTTCCCAAAACGATGATGATAAGGATGATGGTGGTGGTGGTGATACGATGATGGGTGCCAGGCAATGTGCTCAGCAGTATTTGCTCACTATCCCACTTCACCATGTGACACTGTGAGGCAGGCACTGTTATTATCCCTGCCTCATGGATAAGGCATCTGAGGCTTGGAGAGGTGATGTCACTTGCCCAAGGTCACAGCACTAGGAAGAGGAAGCATGGGAGGGGCTGTAGAAGCAGCCAGGGTAGTGCTTGAGTCACCAGCTGCGTGAGCACTAAGGCCCAGGGCCTTGTCCCCTAGGTATACCAAAGACTACAGCTATTTGGGGGTTAGATTTCATAAAGCCCCAAGTCTTTGCTGTGAGCCTATGGGGCACAGGAGCTGAGAGAAATCTCAGATCACAGTTGTGTTGAGGCCTCTTGGTTTTAGCGGAAGCTGGGCTCTCCACCCCATCCTCCTGTCTCAAGTTCACTCTGGCAGGCTGCACCTGTGGAAGGCCCCAGGCAATACGTTTTTCAGTGGTGTTCACCGGAACCCACAAACTTCAGAAGCGAAGCCAGTCCCACTAGCCCATGGCTTGTCTGGCCACTTCCTGATGATTCACCCGCATCTGGAGGCAGGAAGCACCACCACCCTGAATCCTGCTGGGCATTTGGACGTCACCTCTTGCTGTGCTTTTGAGAGGTCCTTTGCTCTCTGTGAGCCAGCTACCTTTCTCGCAACAATGTCCTTAGGAACAGGTTTCCTAGGCAGGCCCCTAGGAACCATGTTTGTTCTGCATATCCCCAGCCTTCTGATAGCTGAGCAGGCAGGACAAATACAAATCCATGCCAGATTTCCTCTCCTGGCCATTAGGAACTAGATCAGTGAGGCTGGAAGTCAGGCTCAGTGGCTTAGTGGCGCCACCCCACATAAACCCGGGAGCTGTGTGGCATCTCCTGTCTCCTCTGTGTCTGTGAAGTCCAGGCATCGGGTCTGTAGGGCAGAAAGTGGGTTGAGCAGACTTCAGAAGGAAGGACAGACACAGTGAAGGAGAGATTTGGCTCAGCACCGGCTCTGGAGGAGATAAAGGCCCTGGTCAGAGAAGCTGTGGGCAGGGGTTCTGAGCTCCTCAAGAAAAAACAGCTGGCCAGGGGTCCGGCCTTGACTGCCACAGCCAAGGGCAGGTGTTATGACTCGGCTCCAGAACGGTCCCCCAAAGGCTCACTGTGGTGGAGGCTTGGTTGCCAGGTGATAGGCGTTTGGGAGGCACAACAGGGTGGAGAAAGCAAGGCCCACTGCGAGTCATCCTGAGTTCAGCTGTGCACATGGCTGCACTGGAGCTGAGGGGACCCTCGCTCCAGAGCCCGGCCCAGTTCTCCCCAAATACTGCAGACTTTGGGTGTTGGAACCACCTTGTGCCCCGGCAAACCTGGGGCATCTACCAAGCTCTTTGATCCCAAGAAGGGAACATGCATCTTTGAAACTGTTTCAGGAGTAGCAGGCGTGGTGCTCGGTCACCACCGGCCACCTACTTTCCTGATGTGTCCCTGAGGGCACTGGGTGGTCCCACTGGCTGAGACCAACAGGAGATCTTCTCCCATGGAGCAGAATTTGCCTCACCCAACCACCTCAGCACTTGCTGGCCATCGGGCCAACTGCCTGCAGTGCCCTTTAGAGGCCATCCTGGGGCCAGTGCCATCCTGGGGGCCACATCCTGGGGGCTGGTGGAACACTGCTTTCTTCCCAGCCTGTCTGCCCACAGGGACTGAACTGCCACCTGGGGAGATTTTTCTTGCCGTGCCCAGCCTTAGTCCCTGGGTGGTTTTCTTGCTGGTAAGAGGCACCTGCAAGGGGAACCCTTAATTTAAAGCCCCCACATTGGTTCCTCCACGGAGCAGCTCCACCTGTGCACCAAGCATGCACGGTGCACATCCCCTTCGCACACTGAGGAGCTGAG